GTATCTAAATCGTGTAGCGAGAATGTTATTCGCGCCTATCACAAGATACCAAGCCGTTAAAGATTAGATGAAGAATTAGAACACAGTTTTATCAATAGAGGGAGAGAGTTTAAAAAATAAGGCTGCATTATTTTGGGTCAATTGGCAAAATTGCCGTGATCTCGTTGCGGTGTTGACCATGTTTTAATTAATATACTCAATAATCGTATGGAAACTAACGGCTTCTTCCAATTCTGTGAATTAGTTGCCACATATTTATTAGAAAAATAATAACACAGCGTTGAAAAAAACGAGGTTACTTTTTCCCGAGGAAATTTGCTTAAAGCTAGAAATAAAAAAGATTGATCTTCGAGCGAAGTTATGTGCAACCACTGAAATTAGACGAACTACTGAGACTGAAACTATTCACGGCGTACAATTGCGTGTAAGTACTGATGAACACGAGGCTTGAACAGTTATGAGGTTTTGGAACTTTCGGCTTAAATTTTTTTCTATCTGGTTTGTACACCGATAGTAAACGGGTGGGAATTCGTAGCCAACCGAGCTTGCAAATAAAAACTCTTCCGGGTAGATGATTTCCGAAAGTTTAGAATAAGACGGTTCGTTATAAATTCTGAAAGATAAGCACAGCGAAGCAACAATTCGTCGGTGGGTAAAAGTTTACCAACGACCGCAAAAGCCTACGTTTACCGAAGTTCTTCGAATCATTAAATTTCAATTAACCTATCGTCGAGTTGACGCGAATTATTTGAAAATAAACGATTGTCTGGAGTGTGATATCGTTCGCCAATAACGACACGAAAACACCTCGTGACATATCAGTAACACTTAATGTGTTGTTAAATAGTTTTCGGTATCCATGTTTTTTATTTCCAATTGAATTTACGTTATGTTTGACCGATCGATCGGCGATCGATGAAGAGTTATTATGCTTCAGATTAGAGAAATATGCTCTCCCTATATTTGTAAACTATTGTATGACCATTATGGGGCAATTGGGCTATGACCCTTTCGCTACTGAAAATGAGTATTTATATGGAGTCGCTTTTTCTGTTAAATTTGGCGTTTTATTACAACTTTGAGTTTCAAGTTTGTATCAAATATACCCGCTTGTGAAGGAAATTTTTTTATCATTATGCCTATCGTCATAACATATTTTATTTTTATGACGTTACATATTTTTAAATTCTTACATTTTAACGAAATCCCGAGGAGGCCGCTACGTATGATAAACAGTTAAATATTTGATATATAAACAGCACGATTGCGTGAGAAGTGTTTTGTGGCAGATTTATTGGCCACATCGACTTCTTTCAATTCGTTGTTTGCTGACGATACATAGCTTGGGTCTTTAAATCTTATGAACGTTTTTGTTGATCATAAATCTCTCCAGTTGAGTATGCTTTATTATTCGTTTATAATTTATAGTCGCGGTCGCACAGGTCCTTAATCATAAACTCAGTACAATTTGCTCAAATATGATTCTTCATTACTTCTGACTGAGTGTGTGTAACTTTGCTCATAGATGAGTCTTCTTTACTTCTGAGTGAGTGCCCGTAACTTTAATCAGAATGGTCGCCTTTTTTTGTCCCGAGGTAAGCCTCTCACTGAGTTAGACGTACAAAATTAGGCGCTAACTTACACCAGATTATTGTTTATAATGGTTCAATTTATTGATCACACATGAAATTAGCACGGGTGAAGCATTGTAGAAGTAAACTTCGAAATATTGAATTTTAATGTTATCTTCGAGATGGGATTGCAACTTATGACGTAGATCCGGGGTGGGATCCGGCCCGCGACGCTTCACTGAATTATAGTAAAAAGGCAGCTGTTTTGACGAATACATTCTTTACGTAACAGAATTTATTGTGAGATACGTGTGGACTAAATTATATATTACCTCAACAAGTATATAATTCACAATAACTCGTTAATGAGGTAATTATAATTAGACAAACGGCAACAAAACACAGAAAAGTTGATGCCAAGTGCAATGGGTTCAATGGCGCCGAAAATATTAAAATGGCATTTTTTGATATGCAGTGAGGAAGTAAATCTATATTCTATTCGAAAGATGTATCACTGCTCGATTTTCATTATAAAAAGTATCATCCGATCGGTTTTCAACTTTCTAAATATATGTGCGGCCCGACAATGACATGCAACCCTCAATTTTGGCCCGCGCCCGCTTTTGTCGGCCCCTAACGTAAATTGTTCATCGTAATGATAAGATGACACCGGTGTCTGTTACTTGATATTTAACCAACCTCAACCCTAGACCGATTATTGGTGGTAGGAAAATTGGATTATCAATGTCTCCACAAGTGAGACATCGTGCGTAATGAGAGCGTTGAAGCTGTTACTTTTTATAATGCGACATTCACAGCTAAGAGTTCTTATGCATCGGCAAAAAACGAACTAGATTTTGTTGCTTCCAAACTCCGGTTACATCTATGACTAGGTATTTCGTTTTTTTCATTTGTGCTGTTGACCTACTTAGATTACACCGTTTAGAGCAGGGATTCTCAAACTGGGGTTTGAGAGCGGCATGTGGCAGTCAACAACCTTTCCTGCGGCTCTTGTTGAAGCTTTAAAAATTAACTGTTTTTAAAAAAAAATTTTCATTGAAAACTAATCATTGACTTGAAATTAAAATGCGGAAGTCTATTAGTTAGTCGAATGGATTCCCCGTGTTTATTTGCGTAGCGTTGGCTGATCTACAAGACGCAATAGTGACGCAATAGTGAGCGTTTTTGCGGCCTCCGGGACACTTTTCACTTGGAAAGATTTTAGACATGGCTGTAACCATTGGCTTGCTTTCGTCGTTTTCCAGTTTTTGTCGCATTTCCGAATATTATGTATAAATCAAATAACTCAATGAATATTTTAATTTTCAGAGCATTTTAACTTTGTTCCAGTATTCGAAAATAGTCCCGAAATATCTGGCGACTATCTCAAGCAGCTACTGCACCTTGCATCCTCCACGATTACGACCTTCTTTGACAAACTTATTAGTAACCAAAGCCAAATTAAATGGTTGTCAGTCTAGGGTGGGCAAAATCGAATCTTTTTTCGAATCGAATAATTTGAATATTTTTAACGAATACCGAATAGTCGAAAAATAAATAATTTTTATACATAACAGGGGTCCAGAAGGTCGATACTCGATTGGAAATTCATAGAAACAATGAAAAGTCGGCAATAGAGCGTTTTTTACTGGTTAATGGTTAATCTCATCATAATCGCTGGTTGTCTTTGTCACTGCGATCGTTTCGGCGGCGATTTCCTAAAGTTGGTAGTCGATATTCCCGACTTTCCTCGATTTTTGCAAGAATAAGGTGTCGCCGGATATCGAAGTTTCATATTTCTAGTATATCCTTGCGTTCACATCAGCGACAGCTGTTAAATACATTAAGGGCTGATTTCAAAACCAAATTTATTTTATTCTGAGTTTTATCCTCTGCCTTGGATTTGATTTGCCCCATCGCCGCTTGTAAATTAACCGTGCCTGTTTGAAGTGAACGGTAACCGAGATGCAGATATTTATTAAAATGATAATTGAGTTTCTCATGCTTTTCTATGGTGTTCGTGTTATTTTAGTATTATTAGATAGATAAACGTAGCCAATTTACGATTGCGTGAATCCTGAATGTTGGTTTAAAATAGCGATTAAATAAATTGGCAATAAAGGCATTCCTAGGCCTCTGTGCCCAATAGAAGGTCAAACGCTAATTATAACTAATTCCTTCAAGTTTTAATTAACGTTTTTTTTTTAAACAAAACAACACCCCGATGGTTATTATAGCTAAAATACTTACTGAGCAATGCTCAATTTTTTTTACGGAATTTGCAAATTCAGCACTTCACCTAATGATTTTGATTATGTCATGCCTTTAAGGCTTACCGTAATTATTACTTCCCAAATGCATTAAAATTCAACAATGGTAATCATTTTTGATGATAATAGATGCAACAATTCGTGAACGAGTCAGTGTGCATTGTTACAACGAAATTCACGATTGATTTTACGTTCTACTCTTGGCTCAATGGCCGTGCATAGTCGAGTAAAATGTTTACATATTCGAAACATTACTTGGCCAAGGATGGAAGGGATCACTAAATAGCTAATACAAAGTGTTTTAAATGGAGTAAGACATGACATTTCTTATCTGGTTACAACTTAATGAGTGTTTTTCATACAAGTAACTCACACCATGGAACAACTTTTGGTCATTATCAAATTCATGCTATTTATATAACTGGAGTTTTCTGACGACCTAAAATCGCCTTTTTCACAATGAAACGCCGAAAAGTGATTCTAACATTTAATTTCAATCAACTTTATGTTCGGTAATGCAAGAAATGGCTAATGACATGTCACCAAGCATGCGGAGTTAAAATCTGAGAAATTTATTTTAAATACCTAATCTGGTTTGACGTTTCTAAAATTACGGAACGGTCAAAATATGGAATTGAAACGATACGTTGAGTGCAAAGGTAAGCATATAACACCATATCGCATATAACGCAAAGACAACGACTCTTCAAATTTGTAGTTTTTTTCTGATAGCGACCGCCGTTGGGAAATCTCGCACAATTTACGATTGAGTTGGAGACGAGCAAGTTCGGTGTCCAAGCAGAGCGGTGCAGGTCACGTTGTACCGGATATTAGAATAGTAAAATGCCATTTGAATATTTTGCCCAGCCCTAGTTGTTACGCGTGTTGTTGTTACGAAGACTTGGTATTTTAGATACGCGCTTAAGGTTTGTTTCTAATTTACCTTACGTTGTTTGTGTGCGACTTTTGATAACTTTGAGGTTTGAAATGCGGCTCTGGGACTAGAAAAGTTTGAGAACCACTGGTTTAGAGCCTTAGAACATTACGCGAGGCAGTTTGTTTTTTAATTTTTTAATGGAATTAGCGTTACCATGACTGAGAAAATTTTTATAAATCACATATTCATTTTTTTCAGGAATAATTTGTAGTAAATAAGACAATTCGTGAAATGGCTGAACGAGAGGGTCAATCTCCAGTTATTAATGTTCAACTTCCAGCTATCAATGTCCATTATGGGGAGGAAACAAGGTTTGCTGGAGACAACGTTGGGTAATTGTTGATTTACATGGTTACAGAAAATATTTCGTTTTGCCACATGCGGCTCTAAGTGTCACGGTGGAGAATCACTGATTAAATTTTTCATTCGCTTGAAACAACCTGTTCATCTCAGCGGCAGCGAATAGGTTTTAAAAGACTGGCAGTTACACAGCTGATGATGCCTCACCCCCTTCTTACACTTGGAGTATACGTAACGTATTGGTTTAAATATTTTAATGAATTTTAACTGAAAAAACGAACAAACAAAAAACAGCAAGTGTATGAAATGTGTCCAACTAACTATCATTAGATATATGAAAACAATCATTTATTTTATTTCCAGGCAGAAGACGGATGGTAATGCTGCAAAGATTCGTCAGGTTGTCGTTCCAACACCAGGTATATCCTCAAACTATATATGCTTTTTTCATATTGTCAGTAGCAGTAGGAGTTTGTTATCTAAGTACTATCGTATTCCCAGGCAACTCTAAAGCTACTCAGTCTAACACTCTGCAACATACCTCGGACCCAACAAATGTTGTCAAAGAATCAGAAGAAGGAAAAGTAAAGAAGTCATCTATGCTGTTTGTAAAAGGTATGTCAACGTTTTCCTTGTCGATTTGGTTCATGATTGAAGTATGGCAATAGGCTATTAGATAAAGATGGCTTATGCCACAAAACCTGACCCGCAATATATCTTGACGCCTGATTTGTACCGACCGATTCAACTTTGTTTCAGACACCAAGCCTACATTGGCATCCTCTGACGTCAAAGAATCAGAAGAAAAGAAAGTAGAAAATTCGCCGATGGGGTTCGAAGAAGGTATGTCGACAAGCTGCTTGTTCATTTGGTCCATGATTTAGAGCAGTAGGCTATCGCGTGAAGAATTGGCTTCAGATAATCACGACTTCAACGGTCAAAATAAAACAGAAGATATGTCGTTTGTATATACAGTATATACTAGCGATTTGAATACGTGAAATACAATCTACTGTTTTTGATTTTTCATTCGAACCTACTGTGCGTAAGGGATTAATCAAAGTTCCGCCATATAGAACTAAGTTTAAATAAATTAGGGAAAAAATACATAAAATATCTCGAGACGATCTGCTGTAACAAGCAATCGCTCGCTTCAACCAAAGTGACTATAATAGTCACTTAGGCTTCAACAAAAGGAAAGACAACTCCGAACACCACCGATTCGGTAGCCATGGAGATGGCGTTAGTGGATTGTATCACAACAATACCATTGTGTTGGCGAATGCCAAAGTATTTTTTCCTCAATTTATTTACACTTAGTTCGACTTTTTCTCCTTTATATTATAGTGTTAGACTTATTTTATGGGTGCCGCTGCTCGATAACCAGTATTGGTTTCTCGCGTCTCCTTCACCCTGAAATATGGCCTATTTATAATTTAATTTATTGCGATTTGTATGTCTGTGCCTATTTTAAGTATAATGAGAAATAAACTACTGATTACTGAACGTAAAGACTTTGATGTATTTATGCGTATTCATAATGAACCATAAAACTTAGGCCCACAATATATCTTGGCTCCTGTTTTGTACCGACCGATTCGCATTTGTTTTAGACTCCAGTCCTACATCGGGATCCTCACCTTCTGACGTCACACAGTCGTTTGACAGTATGGATTTGAGTGGCGGAATGATGGATTTCTTCGCATTTGGTAGGTATTTGTGCTTTCTATATGTTTGCCTAATTGAACATTAGTTCTACAATAATTAGGTCTGCCCAAGCGAGCAAATTATTCGAATTTAAATGTGAATCGTTGGAATGACTTACACAGAGCAGAAAAATTAGTTTTTTAGAATTAAGTGTTTACACCACAATTGCCGGCGCGGCCAAATGCGGCCCACAAGAAAAAAAATTGTGTGGCCCGCAAAAAAGTGCCAATTTTGCAAGGTGTGCGGCCCGCAAAACGAGGTTTTAATTTAGTTTAATGTAGTACAGAGCCTAAACCTGAGTCCGATTTATTATCTATACCGATAACGTCACATTTCCCTACCAGCTAGCTTCTGCGAACTTCAGCAATTAAAGCAGGGGTCACCAAACTACGGCCCGCGGGCCGGATCCGGCCCGCGGCGTCACTTCATCCGGCCCGCAATAACACGCAAAAATTGCTAAATATTTTTCCAAGGTAGATTTTCCAGAGCATCGTCTTCCTTGTTTAATTCGTAACATTGGCCAATCAGCAAGATGCAAAAACGTGAAGTATTAATAGGTCTTTTCGCATCCGCTCAGACACTTTTTCACCCTGATAGATTTTCAGTCGTGGTTGTAAACAATATTTCGTTTTTGCGACTTTAAATGCTATTCGTTAGTTTTTGGTCGTGTTCCGGAAATTTAAGTATGAATCAAATAAGTCAATCATCATTTGCGTCCTTAGGAGTTGTAGTTTTAATGGTAGTAATGAAAAATTAGTCTAGGAATAGCTGTGACATAATAGGCTAAAATTCTCTACCGGTACGCAACGTTTCTGTGAAAAATGCACTTGTACACTCGTAGCGCGTGCTTTCGACGAAACTGTTCACGTTTCTTGTGCTAAAATAAACGTCCAATGTGCATTTTGCGCTAACAGTACTGTAATCCCTCGCGTACTGCTCCAATTTCACAAGTCACACTAACTCCGATATAAATAAAAACTGCTTCAGTGGATAGATCTGAGTGAAAATAGAAAACAATATCAGGTTTATAAAAAACGGTCAAGAAATAACGGAGATATCGGAACTTTAGTACCACCAGACAGGTCAATTTTTTTCATAAGGAATGTATTACTTTTTGATAAGAATTGTAATAAATATGAAAAAAGAACACATATCAATCACTAATATTTCGATGTGCGTCACATCTATGGAATATTGAGACTATTTCAGGATTTTATTTTGGCAACAGTCATTGACACCGCCGAAAGATCGTCACAAATAAACGCTGGAGTTGTGCATGATAGTTTGACAGTGGTTCATTGTGGGTAATATTTAACGATGTTCAGATTGTGCAAACTTCGTAAAAATTGGTAAGTATCAAGTTAGACAAGAAATACACACGTCCATATAAATTTTATTTTTGTCCATAGACAATATCATTAATTTGCACTACGTATAACTGGAGCGTAATTTTTAAAAGCGTCGAATGTTGGGAAATTTATGCGCTAATGAAAAAAATCAAATATCAGATAATAGTTGTTTATTTTATCTAAATTATGTCAAAATTTCATGGAATTCTAAGCTACAGCGAGCAGTCCGTAGTCGTTTTTATGAGCGGTTTTCTAACAATGCGTAACGGTACTTAGCAGACGTGATGCGTACATTTTTTGGCGCGAAAAAGCGGATTTTGAAAATTCCTAATTCACGACAGAAACGTTTTGATAACAGCTAAACTCAGGATAGTTGTTTAGATATTGAAATCTTTCATATTTGTTTCCTAGGATGTTCCTGATCTATATTCTACGATATAGATAGAATTTAAATCAAGGCTTCAGAAATGTAGAAGATATATTGTTGAATGGATTTCCCAACTTTTGTGATTTATTGTATTGCATTGACAAAAATATTCATCCGGCCCGTTTCAACACAGTTTGAGTCATACCCGGCCCGCGGTCAAAAAAGTTTGGTGACCCCTGAATTAAAGTAAAGTGCAGAACAGAAGCTAATAAATTAGTAATTAGATTAAGCAACTTGAAGAATATTACCACTGAGTGATACAGAACCCAAATGAGTCTTGGTTCAGCGTTTCAATCGATTTTATCTAAATCTAGTCTAGAATAAGACTTTATTCAGACAAATTATTTTAAAATCAATGTTGGCGATACTTACTGAAAAACCTCTTAGCCAAGATAAATTCATAAATGACACTTTTTGACTCAACATATATGTGCGAACAATTTTTTTTTTCAAAATGGGCGTCATCAAATCCCCCTGTCGATCGGTTCTGACAGACAAGCACTTGGAAAAATGAATTTAGTTAGTAGTTATTTTCAGAAGTTCAACTATTTTCAGCGCATACTACTAGAGATTCTATGTTGAATAAAGGTTCGCGCTTGCATCCAGTTATTCGTATCTGACCCTTCTGTATTAAAGGTTTCACACTCCTGATTCAAAGCGATCTACAACCTCTGTATGCCGTTTAAAACTAAATCCATTAGAATTGAGTCAATAAGGTATTGAGAGTCTATGCAATTTTCAACTCTCAACAGTTTTCAAATCCTGATTAATACCTACAACAAATATTTTCAGAGAATTCGCGTCATCTCATGCAAAATAGCCAGTTCACCAAAGCTGTGGATCTGATGGAAGATCTATCGCCGTCACCATGTCAACAGCTAATGATGTCAGAATGTTACTTTCAACTTGGAAGAGAAAGAAACGCATTGAGGTGCGTTGGAGCGTTACAAACAATGATGACGTCATCACCGAGACCTAAAGTCGGTGACGTCATCAGATTAGTTGATAATTATATTTCTGATTCGTCTCATATTCGTGCATTGATTTTCCTCTCTTGTTGTGCTAAGCTGTGTAAGTTCAATCCGAACCCGAATGATTCGGTTGCTGGGATTAGGGATTGCGCATTTGAATGTAGCGATGTGATCAAAGCTATGGCTCAGGAAGGCGATAAAATGAAAGCAATTGCAACAGATGTTGGCTTGGAAATGATCACTGATATGCTGAGAGAGTTGAGATCAGTATCGGGAGCTGATAAGGATAGGAAGGCGAAAATGGAAGCGAGGTGTTTGAATGATGTTGGCAGGAGTTACAATAATGTGGGTAAATTTAAGGATGCGATCGAAGTTTATAACACAGCTATAGATTTGATGGAAAAAACGTTTAGTTCGAACCCTGCAAAATATACGGTGTTCGGGGATCTATTAAACAACATTGGTTTGGTACATCACTATCTTGGTGATTATCCCAAGGCTGAATCGTTTTATTCGCAATCTCTGGACGCTTATGAGAAAGCTGAGAATCGGCCTAGTGATGAGGTGAAACAGGAAAGGGCAAAAAACAACTTGAAAATCACTCGAGACAAAATGAAAAAGTGATTTCTGAATAATCCTTGTAGTTAAGGACGCCATATTTCCATGTTTTTCATGAAAATTTATTCGGTATTTGTAAAATTGATGTCGGAATAGTTTTTTCGAATTATCATCACCTCAAACTTTTTGTGAAAATCATTAATTTGCCGTAAATTACCAATTCTCACCAGCGAAGTATTTTTAAATTTTGAAAAATGCAATTGAACAATCAAAACTAAAAAATATCAAACTCCTCCCAATTCGAACATTTTTTTCCTAAATTAATTTAGAGGATTAGAACTACAGACCAAGTCAGATAGAGTAGATATAGAAAATCATCTGCAAAATATTTCTTTTACGCAATAAATATTCATAGTTCAGTAGCTTTGGGCATTTCAGTGCCTACCTGCAACATAGGTGAGAGACCAGTTCCTTCTTTCAGAATGAGGGCATCATAATACTTTCAATAGTTTAAATAACTCTAGGCTAGGTAGTCGTCGCCCATAGACTCGTTTTCAAATCAATCAGTGCGTTTACTTTGCATTTTCTATAAATATTTTTCAACAACGATTCCTAGCCATGATAATTGCATTTCAATAATATGAAGAATTTATAATTATAAACAGGTATTGATTTTGAGCACTGTATATATTTCATCTGTCTTGAAGTGTGTCCTTCTATGCTTTATATCACGCAATTGCTTTAATATATATTTTTCCCTTATATCAATAGATGAGACTTAATTTATTCCATCAGTGTTGATTTCATACCAAGATCCTCACTTCAATTTAAATAAACAACAGGTTTACAGTCCCCATGATTGGACAATGAATGTAAAAACCCATCCCGTACCTGTGTTTGCATCGCAGATCACACTTCTACGATCCAAAGCCTCACTCAGTCCCAGATAGTAATAAATTGGGTAAGAAATGCCGAAACAGAAAGATTCCAGCATTTCCAAATTGTTGCAGCCCTTTAATTGGCTACCTGTATAGGGCCTTGTTCGGAGAGAAATACATGACCAAAGTGTCTTATAAAAAATGAAGTCAGTTTCCCTTTTTAATCTATGTTATCCTGAACATTTTAAACTTTTGTAGGAAATTTTGACTTCAGTTACCGCCTTTACCCTTTGAACTCTGACTCCGAAGAATCTAAATTTCGGTCATGGAAATGCGACTCCAATGAGAGTTTGCCAAACTCAAACATTCCTACTATAAACTGTGTATATTATCCCAAAGGCATCAGGGACCCCTTTGCTACTATAGAGATATTACCAAATGTATTTTTGTTGTTGATTTATTTGATTAATTTCAGTGTTTTATATTGTTAACATGTATTCTTGCTTCTAATATAAAGTAGATTTGACTTATTTGTAGTTTGTGTAGCAATTATGTATTCATTTTGAACCCTGATGATAGATAACGCTCCAGTGATTCTCGATTTGCAGAATTATTATCAAATTCTTTGATTTATCTACTTAAAAAACACACAAATTAACCGATATTCCATAGTCATTTCTCATGTTATTTTCATCGAATCAAAGCATGAAATCTGACATTTGACAGGCAAGGTCTTGGTTTCAAAAGTCCTTACAAATTATACTGATTGTATTGACTACCTGATAAATGAACGAAAAACCACGTCCGGCAATGTTCATTGATATTGATTGATTGCATTAAATTTAGTTACTGATATTTTATTTTGATTCGCTGAGTGTTTTTATGATTTTGGTTGATTTGATTTTAAAGTCTAAGCTTCATTGTACATTATCATGTCATTTTACTTTAATTCATTAAGTATTTTAATGATTTTTGCAGTAATAGATGTAGCTATTGAATGAATATAATCGATCCTATTGACAGAGTGGTTTCTTAGTTTGTCGGAATTTGTCAGAAACAAATTTGAATAAAGAACCTCGCTTGCCCGTATATTCCCAGATTCAGTGGTCGGCAACCTTTTTTAAGTGACGGACCGGTAAAGCCTTACCAAAATGTTGGCGGACCACCTTCATACAAACGAACTAAGCTTCTGTAGTAAATATTAAGCATTAGAAAATGTATGTTGGCAATATATTCAAGAACAAAGGTGATGCTATTTAATCTATTAAAGATCTATTAATACAGATCTGCATTTGTTTGCTGACCAATAACTGTTCCCAATTCGGAGTCATAGTCAAACGTGACGTGTTTCTTAGGTTCAACCAAAGTGACTATAAACCAAGTGGAGACACCGTATGCAATGATGCATATCGGACGCCACTTTGGGTTCGACGAATCTCGGGAACGGGGCAGCCTCAGTCTGTTTTATAGGGAGAGAGTGAGAGTTTATTTGTTTTGTCCACCAGAAAACATATACACAAGGTCAGTCTGCTGATCAGGTTTTGTTTGTTAACTTGTTTGAAGATTTGTTACTGTTTTATATTTTATTCGGGTAAGTTTAGCATTTTTCTTTTGCTATTTGCCTAGTGCAGTGTTTCTCAAATGAGTCCGCGGAGCGTTTGAATGAGTCCACAACGAGCCAGAAATTCACTGCGGACTGCAAACGTTTTTGCGAAACTTAACTATCAGCCAAGTTACGATTTAAGGTAAAATTTACATAAAACATAAAAGGCAAGTTTATTCACATAACAATATTCGAGACAATATTTACTGGTTAATTAGTAGGACTGGGCATATATTCGAATACTCAACTATCAGAATTGCAATTTACTATTCGAAAATTTGGTAACAGGTGACGCGTCGCCTGATCAAACGATTAAATTTCACAGCTCACTTGCGGATTTACGGCGAAAACACGAGTCTGCACACGTTTCGATAGGTACCTTATAGTGGTGTTTCTCGCGAGTTCGAACAACCAGAAATAAAAAAATTTTCTGGTAGGTGTCAATGATGGCAACCCAAATGTTCTAAATTGAAAAGCGGCAATATCAAAATACTAAAAATAAAACGGAGAACACCAAAGTTTTGTTTTATGATGGTCCGCGACCGATTAAAAACGCTTTTTAGACATTGCAAATCGCAAAATTGTATACGTACCAGGGCATTTTCCTTAGGATTCCTTGCTTTACTGCCTCCACATTGGTACGTACAGTACTGGAGCGCCGTAAGTGTTGCACGATCATCTCAGATTTGTCGAATTCACAAAATTACGAATCAAAACAGAATACGAGAATATCGGTCAGAAACCGAAGACTTATCGATCGAAAGTTCGGGGATCCCCCAAAACAGCGATCTTATTCCACAGTGACACCTTGTGTCCCATCACTAATTAATTAATAACTCGCTAATTATACGACATAATTCGCCCAAAATCAATAGGCTTCTGGTTCGAGATAAGATTAATGCACATGCAAAAACTGGAGCAGATTCAATCTCGCTTTCGTGAGATATCGCGTGCATCTAACAGGCATACAGACAGACATACTTACCGATTAAAATCGATAAGTAACAATACCTTACGTTCTGTAGTAAATGTAAACTTTCTTCAATTCGCGAAATTAAATATTAAACTACTCTGTTAAAACAAGCACATTGATAGTTCGGGCCAGCCATGGTGAGACGGTTCCACGCATACCCATTCTACAATCTGATCAAGCTTGGCGACATAATAAGTGGGCACTGGAAACAAATTTACATAGAAATTATAGTTGAAGTTTTGATTTAATTAAAAGTTCAGACCTGAGCACAACCTGAGTCCTGAACTAAGGTTGTGTACCAGGTTGGGGTTCAGGTTATGCGACATCTTGGTGCGCACACATCAGGAGTACCAAAAGTTCAACTATCTGGACAACGATTATTCTAGTTGGTTTAGGCTCGTTCAGGAGGTCAAATTTTTTGCAAGCAAGCAGACACAATACCGGCAGTAGACAGAGAGTACATTAACCGTCATCGTTACCGGTTACTTTCCCCGCCATCAAGCATCTGAAACAAATAACTGACATTTCAGGAACAAATACGAAAATCATATCTATCATTCTGCTCTAAACTTGTGTGATTATTAACACATATGATTGAGGCCACCAAGTATGGCTTGGTGTCACGGTATTTGTTGTCACGGCGCTTTAGCCAGAAGAATATTTAATGAACCATGCGAAATGCTGTCAGTTTGATGTCCTAAATCATTCGCTATGTTTGCGAATTCCGAAGAAGTTTGCTAATAATTAAACATCTTAATCGATGACGCCTTGTAGATTTAACCTTCATAGTTTCAAGTATTTTACCGTTTGCCTTTGGCAATGTGTTGTTGTGACACTCACTGACAACGAGTTAAACAAAGTAATTTTATTGCAGCGCCCAGAGTCTTGATCGTACAATCCTTGTTATAGATTGAGACTGGAAGCCGTTGATTAGAGATTAGCAAGTCAAGTTGTAAGCCCACTGCGTTCCCCAAAATGCGAACATTGTCGATATGGCAAGTCTTTGCGTAATAAGATTTCGATAACTCAAAATATAGTATCGCCTAAGTACATGCTTTCCCAGAGCCTTGTTCGAAGAAAAGTTTGAACTGCGAATCCACATTAAGATCTATCTGTGGATGGAAAATTAATGGTTTTGTGCGAATAAAGTTCAGGAAGAATGTAGTTTTGCAGGAATTAACTACTGGGAGAATGTACGTTTGCGAGAATATAGTTTCGCGAATGCATAGTTTTGTAAGAGATAGATGAAAATCAGATCTAAAGTTTGTTCGCATTGATTCGTATTTTAAAACTTCCCAGCGTTGAATTGTTCAATTTTCTACAGACAGAATTCCAGCCTTCTATTATGGTATGAAATGCTTTTTAGAAACCTCTAAAAAATAATTGACTTTACGAAGCATTTACGCAAAGTTTTTGTTATCAAAATTTTTAATTATCTCCAGTTTGAAGTCGGAGCCGAAATTCTCACCAACTCGGAGTATGAACCAAAATATTTCCATCTGGAGTCCATCTTGAATTTTTCCCCATTTCAAAGACGATGTAATGTGTGTTATAATTTCGTGTCGATTAAGCCAATTACTAATGTTCAAAACCAGTCTCAATTTGAACTATTCATTCCAACGAAATCCTGGTATGATTAACAGTTAAATATTAGTTAAACACGATTGCGTGAGAAGTGTTTTGTGACAGATTTATTGGCCAGATCGACTCCTTTCGTTGTTTGTTCCGATGATAAATAGCTTGGGTCTTTAAATCTAATGAATGTTTGAGCATCATAAACCTTTCCAGTCGTCTAGTACACTATGCTATTCGTTTATGATTTATAAGTCGCACAGACTATTAATCATAAACGAAATATAATGTGCGCAAACCAGTTGGCCTAAACCAGGGGTCGACAACCAATTGTCGTTCGCGTGCCAAAATTAAGGGTTGCAAGTCATTGGCGGGCCCGACATATTTTTAGAAAGTTGAAAACCGAGCGGATCAAGCTTTTTATAAAAAAAATCAAGCCGTGATACATTGCATTACATCTCAAAAAATACCATTTGAATATTTCCGGCGCGATTGAACCCTTTGCAATTAGCATCAACTTTTCTGCGTTTAATTGCCATTTGTCTAATTACAATTAAATTATTATAAGCTCATTAAACAAGTGATTGTGAATTTTAATATAATTCAGTCTACACGTGTTCCTCTATCTTGCCTCTCCTTAAAAATACTTAAATTTAAAAATAGATTGGCCTTTGAAGCTTTCCCAACAATTACTACGTGCGCCACGTTCAACAAAAAAAAAAACAACAAACAAAAACGAAAAATATATACGTTACAGCCAAATGAAAAAACAAATCAGAGTTAACCTACATAAAGTCATGCCAAATGGTACCCAGTGACGGGATTGGCTCAAGACCCCTAAGTACCGATCCGTGGTTCTTTTTTAAAAACCTGGATCAAGATCAGTAAACATTTTAGCCCGAAACATGATCCCAACCAAGTCACTACTTTTGTGCAACGAGTTACACACGTTCTCAACGGGAAACTCTGTTTAATGCATTTAGGTACAGTTTGTGTTTGAAATTATTAAAAATATAGACTAGATAAACTGACAATACACAAAATGGCTGAAGGAAAACATTCCGTTACCGTCAATGTCAACATTAGTCAAGAAGAAACGAAGATTGCTGGAGACAAAGTCAAGTAAGAAATAAATGATTGAAATATTTGAAAATAGATTACCCTTATAGCATTGAACCGAAATTGATAAAGCATTTTGATCTTGATTTGAGTTCTGCGAAAGCTCACAAAATTAAACTTGCGAATTCCAAACCCCCATTTGATATAGTATCCCAGGTATTCTCCATTTACAAGAAAATCAAACGCTATTCTGATTCCACAGCCATGGTTTTCGTTGAGAATTTTCAGCCAACTGCTTTTACTATCACGCCCAATGTAATTAAGTCAATTATTCATTTATTTCCAGGCAGAAGACGAATGCTGTTGATTGCAAAGTTGGCCAGCTGGGTCAGATTGTCGTCCCAACACCAGGTATATCCCCAACCTAAATATTCTTTCTCGTATTCTCACTGGTACTTAGAGTTTGTTAAAAAATATTCAACCCATTCTCAGGTAATTCTCAACCCGCAGCTACTCAGCCGAACACGCTGCAACATGATTTGATTCCAGAAAATGTTTTCAATGAATCAGAAGAAGAGAAAGTAAAAAAGCCATCACCGGGGTTTAAACATGGTATGTCCACGTGTTTCGTGTTTATTTTGGGCTGTGATTAACATAGGGCAATTTATGACGAATACGCTGTAGCACAAACGTATGGAGTCTACACCATATGGACAATGCTAATTCAGCCGGCTCGCGCCTTCGAAACAAGAGAGCAATGCTCAAATATATGGACACTCAGAACAATTCCCCAAAAATCATATGCGGTGACTTACCAGTACCTGTATAAATAAACAAAGCACCACATCACAGTAATCAAACAGACAAAAACACGGTGGTCGCAAATTGGTTGACAAAGATATTATCGACGTATTGGAAATGCGAACTCCCCTATTCCACCTCCTTTAAATGTAAAAACGAGAAACCATCAAAGATGGTTAAAAGAAACACAACTCCAGCAACTCTACCAACCTGCCAAGTTTCATCTTTTTATCTCTTATATTTGTATGGATTTTCAAGCTTTTGACAGCTACGAGTTAGATCAGTGTCACCGCGTTGTGTTACAGTACCAAAACTTCTCTATCTTTAAAAACATTGGGCTTTTAATTGCATTTCTGACTGTCATATATTTTAAGAACACGGTTATTTGGAACAAAACTCGTCAAATTATAAACAAAGCACCACATCACAGCAATAAAACAGACAAAATATATCGACGTATTGGAAATGCGCACACCCCTATTCCCCCTCTTACCTGTAATGCCGGACGCTCCTTATTTGCCAAACCAACTTATTCGATTTATCACGTTATTATAACAGCAGATACCACAGCGAAGCATTCCGACCACAGTCTATAGATATATTCACACCAAGCGAAGCAGTACAGTACCGGTACGGTTTACCATACCCCTAGACCACAGCCTACAAATATATTCACACCAAGCGAAGCAGTGAAGTACGGTTTACCGTACCTCTAGACCACAGTCTACAAATATATTCACACCAAGCGAAGCAGTACAGTACGGTCTACCGTACCTTTAGCATCACCGCCATTCATCGGTAACCTCGAAAAACTTGCGATTCTTGAGTAACGACTTTCATATTCCGCCGTCACGCCAACATTCGATGTCACGTGATCAAAAAGAGGAGTGCCTGCATACGCGTCCGCAGAACGTTCAGTGACGTCATAGCAAACAAAAACAAATCTCATAGAGCTAACAGAAATATTTGAAATAAATAAAAGGAATAGCCTTCTGGAGAAAAATTTCATCTTTAACCACTAGAAATTTCAAAGCAATTGGTCCAGTGATCGAAGAGAAAAGCGTTTTTTTAGATTTTCCACTAGGTGTCCAAAAAGTGTCAAAGAACAACAACAACAACAAGACCAACATAATATTGGAACGATCGTTATGTCCACTTCGTGTCCAATAAATAGGCTAATCTGAAATATACCATAGGCTCTAATCTGACAGCGTGTTGGACTATTATTCATAAAAAAACGCTATAGCCTGCAAACCTGAAACCTAAACTTTTTATAAGATTTGGCGTGGAAAAAGATTTTGAACACGTAAATATTTTAATATATTCATATTCATGTACATTTACTGCAACACATAGAAAAACTCCACGCATTATATATATACAGTACACACTTAATTTTGTACAAACCGTGCTTACTTTTGCTTTAGACACCGAACCTGCGTCGCCATCTTCGTCTTCAGACGTCGCACAGTCGTTTGCCGGTATGGATTTGAGTGGCGGAATGATGGATTTCATTGCATGTGGTAGGTATTTGTATTTTTCGAATTTTTTTACTTTGCAATAGCGCTTTGCGAGAATAAAATATTTATGCATGGAGATATTATATATAAGAGCGTATCTTTTTGTTACACACGGCCGACCCAAATAGCGCGGTGGGGAAACGATTTCGTTTTCTACGTGATAACCGGACGAGAGGCCGTGGTTCGCCATATGATTAAGCCGTCTTGTCGGCTTTCCTCTCCTCGGGATAAACATGTAAATCCTATCCTATATTAAATGATTTTTCGCGGCCCACGAGTACTCCCGAAAAAAATAAAGTAGCCTAACGTTTACAGACGATGACTGTTATCTTTATTTGCATTGTCTGCGATTAATTTTTTTCTTGATTATCCAATTAACATTAAAAAGTCCAAAATTCAGACTCTCTCTAAGTTTGAAAATGCGTAGGGATACGAAATAACTTATATAATTTCAATAACCACAACATTCATTTTCAGAGAGTTCGCGTGATTTCATGCAAAAATCCAAGTTCGAGGAAGCTGTGCATCTGATGGAAGATCTTTCGCCGTCACCATATCAGCAGCTAATGATGTCAGAATGCTACTTTCAACTTGGAAGAGAAAGAAACGCATTGAAATGCGTTGAAAAATTACAAACAATGATGACGTCATCGCCGAGACCTAAGATCGATGACGTCATTAGATTAGTTGGTATTTACATTTCTGGTTCGTCCCATATTCGTGCATTGATTTTACTCTATTGTTGTGCTAAGTTGTATAAGTTCGATTCAAACCCGAATGAGTCGGTTAATGGGATCATGCATTGCGCATTGGAATGTAGCGACGTGATCAAAGCTATGGCCAAGAAAGGCGATAAAATGAAAGCGATTGCAACAGATGTTGGCTTGGAAATGATCACTGATATGTTGGAAGAGCTGAGGTCAGTATCAGGGGCTGGTAAGGATAATAAGGCGAATATGGAAGCGAGATGCTTGAAATATGTTGCTTGGGGTTACCATGCCGTGGGTAAACATAAGGATGCGATCGAATACTGTGAGAAAGGTATAGCTTTGATGATTCAAACGTTCAGGTCGAACGCAGAAAAATATAGAGTGTTTGGGGATCTATCAAACGACATTGGTTCTGCGTATGAAGATCTCGGTGATTATACTAAGGCTGAATCACATTATTTGAAATCTCTGAAAGCGTATGAAAAAGTCGAGAATTGGCCTAATGACAGCGAGAAACAGGATAGAACAGAAAGAACAAATAAAAACTTGAAAAACGTCCAAGACAATACAAAAAATAATCGCCCGCATAAATATAAAACCATTAAACGACGTTCTTCCGTGATCAATCAATAATGATATTCATAAACATCACTTCTACATTTTGTGGAAACATAAATTCGCAGTAAATTACCAAATTCTTATTTGTGAAATAATCTTTTCAAGTTATAAAAATTGATATTTACAATCATAATTATAAATCTCCAATTCCCCATAAAATATTTCTTTGAAAAATCTTTTTTTCTAAGTTTCTCCCCAAACTATTTCCTCGAATTAGTTTAGATGATTAAAACTTCAGATCAACGTATATGAAGTAGATGCAGAAATAAAACTTCAGGTTTCCGATCATTTATAAAAATAATTTACCAGCGCAATGCTTTCACATATTGTAGGATATCAGTCGCTGCCTGTATAGGCCCTTGTTCGGAGAGAAATACATGACCAAGTGCCAAACAATAAAGTAGTCCTTGCAATCTCTAAATTATATGTAATCTTAAATTTTTTTGTGTTTCTGTGGGAAATTTTGACTTCGGTAAGCATTTAAAATCCCGTCTCAATTTCGAAAAATATGTATTTCGGCACCCTACACTTCAGAATATCTTTTAATGTTCCAAAAACGTTGGTTAGTCCCATGCTAAAACTGTTACATATTCAACTATTTTCTTGCTTTTGCATACTTTTATTGAAATAATTTCAGTGTTGTGTATTGTGAACATTTATTTTTGCTTTTAGTTCGAAGTGGCTTTTGCTTATTGAAAGCTTGGGAAGCAATTATGTATTCATAATTTCAAGTCAGTTATTGTATTTAATTCATCGAGTGTTTTATAATTTTTGTATTGATAGATGTAGTGATTGAATAAATATAATCGAACCTATTTATCAAGTGGTTTCTAAGTTTGTCGGAATTTGTCAGAAAGAACATCGCCCTTCCATATAGTCTCCAGTTCGTAAGAAATTGGTTGCAATGGCCGAGCGGTGAAAGCGTTAGACTTAGCTGCATTGGCATGGCGTTTACGTGCTCAGTTTGGATCCTTACAAATCGTTAGATATCAGTGGCTACTTGGTACTCGCACAGAGGCTTGTTTAGAGCGGAAGGCATGAATGAACGTTGCAAAAATTAGGTGCGTCGTACTCGTGGGAAGAATTTCAGTCTTTATAAAACATGTCGATCCAGTACAGATCTTAACATATTCATAGGTTTATTGAGAATGTGGTGTTCAACGTAACTTGCGGTTGCGTCGACAAAACAAAGTAAATATACTCAACACCCAAAACACCACGAAAGTCTAGGGACATATAATGTGAAATAAAGTGCAAAAATTCTCTCTAGAAAATCCTGGCCAGTACAATTTAGGGTACTCTAGTAGTATGTGAACCAAGATGGCGGACCCCGGAACATAGTATGTGTACCAGGTTAGGGTTAGAGCAAAATTTTGTTCCAATTTTCCTTATTTTAGTTCTATTACGAGTTCGGGGACTAGCTAAGTGACTACCCATAGTATTTGTATCGCGGGACTCCTAAAATCAAACTTATGGCGCTTTCCGTTTTATTCTTAGTAGTTTATATTGCCGATTTTCATTCTAGAAGAGTACGGTTGCAGTTTCGCTCCTTTAATTATCTTTATTTAAAGTAATTATAATCGTCCTCGTGCCACAAGACATATGTGCTTACGGCCCACAAAACGTCCGACCAAGTGCCCACCATCCCCATTTGTTTGTGCTACTAAATCATTCAGGGCTTGATATCAGCACACCATATCCTACCTTGTGATCAACAAATAAACAAGCACACATCTTGTCTGTCCAACAAAGCACAAGAATTCAAATAATGAAATCCAGTACTCACAATCTCCATTTTATTTACAGTTTCCTGCTTTTGATACAGTCGTTCATGCTTGGCATATAAATAAATCCAAGTATAACATAGTTATGAGCTTGCCATACATGCCCGACTGTCAAGCAATACCTTACGTTCTGTAGTAGATGTAAACTTTCCGCAATTCGCGAAATTAAATTAAACTACTCTGTTAAAACAAGCCCATTGATAGTTCGGGCCAGCCATGGTGAGACGGTTTTACGCATACCCATTCTACAATCTGATCAAGCTTGGCGACATAATAAGTGGGCACTGGAAACAAATTTACATAGAAATTATAGTTGAAGTTTTGATTTAATTAAAAGTTCAGACCTGAGCACAATCTGATTCCTGAACTAAGGTTGTGTACCAGGTTGGGGTTCAGGTTATGCGACATCTTGGTGCGCACACACCAAAAGTTCAACTATCTGGACAACGATTATTCTAGTGGGTTTAGGCTCGTTTAGGAGGTCAAATTTTTTGCAAGCAAGCAGACACAATACCGGCAGTAGACTAGAGAGTACATTAACCGTCATCGTTACCGGTTACTTTCCCCGCCATCAAGCATCTGAAACAAATAACTGACATTTCAGGAACAAATACGAAAATAATATCTATCATTCTGCTCTAAACTTGTGTGATTATTAACACATATGATTAAGGCCACCAAGTATGGCTTGGTGTCACGGTATTTGTTGTCACGGCGCTTTAGCCAGAAGAATATTTAATGAACCATGCGAAATGCTGTCAGTTTGATGTCCTAAATCATTCGCTATGTTTGCGAATTCCGAAGAAGTTTGCTAATAATTAAACATCTTAATCGATGACGCCTTGTAGATTTAACCTTCATAGTTTCAAGTATTTTACCGTTTGCCTTTGGCAATGTGTTGTTGTGACACTCACTGACAACGAGTTAAACAAAGTAATTTTATTGCAGCGCCCAGAGTCTTGATCGTACAATCCTTGTTATAGATTGAGACTGGAAGCCGTTGATTAGAGATTAGCAAGTCAAGTTGTAAGCCCACTGCGTTCCCCAAAATGCGAACATTGTCGATATGGCAAGTCTTTGCGTAATAAGATTTTGATAACTCAAAATATAGTATCGCCTAAGTACATGCTTTTCCAGAGCCTTGTTCGAAGAAAAGTTTGAACTGCGAATCCACATTAAGATCTATCTGTGGATGGAAAATTAATGGTTTTGTGCGAATAAAGTTCAGGAAGAATGTAGTTTTGCAGGAATTAACTACTGGGAGAATGTACGTTTGCGAGAATATAGTTTCGCGAATGCATAGTTTTGTAAGAGATAGATGAAAATCAGATCTAAAGTTTGTTCGCATTGATTCGGATTTTAAAACTTCCCAGCGTTGAATTGTTCAATTTTCTACAGACAGAATTCCAGCCTTCTATTATGGTATGAAATGCTTTTTAGAAACCTCTAAAAAATATTTGACTTTACGAAGCATTTACGCAAAGTTTTTGGTATCAAAATTTTTAATTGTCTCCTGTTTGAAGTCGGAGCCGAAATTCTCACCAACTCGGAGTATGAACCAAAATATTTCCATCTGGAGTCCATCTTGAATTTTTCCCCATTTCAAAGACGATGTAATGTGTGTTATAATTCCGTGTCGATTAAGCCAATTACTAATGTTCAAAACCAGTCTCAATTTGAACTATTCATTCCAACGAAATCCTGGTATGATAAATAGTTAAATATTAGTTAAACACGATTGCGTGAGAAGTGTTTTGTGACAGATTTATTGGCCAGATCGACTCCTTTCGTTGTTTGTTCCGATGATAAATAACTTGGGTCTTTAAATCTTATGAATGTTTGAGCATCATAAACCTTTCCAGTCGTCTAGTACACTATGCTATTCGTTTATGATTTATAAGTCGCACAGACTATTAATCATAAACGCAATATAATGTGCGCAAACCAGTTGGCCTAAACCAGGGGTCGACAACCAATTGTCGTTCGCGTGCCAAAATTAAGCGTTGCAAGTCATTGGCGGGCCCGACATAATTTTAGAAAGTTGAAAACCGAGCGGATCAAGCTTTTTATAAAAAAAAATCAAGCCGTGATACTTTGCATTACATCTCAAAAAATACCATTTGAATATTTCCGGCGCCATTGAACCCTTTGCAATTAGCATCAACTTTTCTGCGTTTAATTGCCATTTGTCTAATTACAATTGAATTATTATAAGCTCATTAAACAAGTAATTGTGAATTTTAATATAATTCAGTCTACACGTGTTCCTCTATCTTGCCTCTCCTTAAAAATACTTAAATTTAAAAATAGATTGGCCTTTGAAGCTTTCCCAACAATTACTACGTGCGCCACGTTTAACAATAAAAAAAGCCAACAAACAAAAACGAAAAATATATGCGTTACAGCCGAATGAAAAAACAAATCAGAGTTAACCTACATAAAGTCATGCCAAATGGTACCCAGTGACGGGATTGGCTCAAGACCCCTAAGTACCGATCCGTGGTTCTTTTTTAAAAACCTGGATCAAGATCAGTAAAAATTTTAGCCCGAAACATGATCCCAACCAAGTCACTACTTTTGTGCAACGAGTTACACACGTTCTCAACGGGAAACTCTGTTTAATGCATTTAGGTACAGTTTGTGTTTGAAATTATTAAAAATATATACTAGATAAACTGACAATTCGCAAAATGGCTGAAGGAAAACATTCCTTTACCCTCAATGTCAACATAAATCAAGAAGAAACGAAGATTGCTGGAGAAAAAGTCAAGTAAGAAATAAATGATTGAAATATTTGAAAATAGATTACCCTTATAGAATTGAACCGAAATTGATAAAACATTTTAATTTTATTCGGAAATAAATTTGAGTTCTGCGAAAGCTCACAAAATTAAACTTGCGAATTCCAAACCCGTTTTGATATAGTATCCCAGGTATTCTCCATTTACAAAAAAATCATTTTCCATTTACAAGAAAATCAAACGCTATTCCACAGCCATGGTTTTCGTTGAGAATTTTTAGCCAACTTGCTTTTACTATCACGCCCAATGTAATTGAGTCAATTATTCATTCATTTCCAGGCAGAAGACGAATGCTGTTGATTGCAAAGTTGGCCAGCTGGGTCAGATTGTCGTCCCAACACCAGGTATATCCCCAACCTAAATATTCTTTCTCGTATTCTCACTGGTACTCAGAGTTTGTTGAAAAATATTCAACCCATTCTCAGGTAATTCTCAACCCGCAGCTACTCAGCCGAACACGCTGCAACATGATTTGATTCCAGAAAATGTTTTCAATGAATCAGAAGAAGAGAAAGTAAAAAAGCCATCACCGGGGTTTAAACATGGTATGTCCACGTGTTTCGTGCTTATTTGGGCTGTGATTAACATAGGGCAATTTATGACGAATACGCTGTAGCACAAACGTATGGAGTCTACACCATATGGACAATGCTATTTCAGCCGGCTCGCGCCTTCGAAATAAATAGGCTAATCTGAAATATACCATAGGCGCTAATCTGACAGCGCGTTGGACTATTGTTCATAAAAAAAAACGCTATAGCCTGCAAACCTGGAACCTAAACTTTTTATAAGATTCGGCGTGGAAAAAAGATTTTGAACACGTAGATTATTTAATATATATATTCATATTCATGTACATTTACTGCAACACATAGAAAAACTCCACGCATAATATATATACAGTACACACTTAAGTTTGTACAAACCGTGCTTACTTTTGCTTTAGACACCGAACCTGCGTCGCCATCTTCGTCTTCAGACGTCGCACAGTCATTTGCCGGTATGGATTTGAGTGGCGGAATGATGGATTTCATTGCATTTGGTAGGTATTTGTATTTTTCGAATTTTTTTCACTTTGCAATAGCGCTTTGCAAGAATAAAATATTTATGCATGGAGATATTATATATGAGAGCGTATATTTTTGTTACACACGGCCGACCCAAATAGCGCGGTGGGGAAACGATTTCGTTTTCTACGTGCATGGAATTATATATTT